ATCGAAAAGTCCACAAACATTTTGTATCTATGTGTACCTGTTTTTTTAATACTTAATTTTGTGAATTATCAGATAGTCAAATTTAAAATTAGTGTTTTCAATGATTTGTATATTATTTCTTATTAATCTAATGTCATTGTGAATGGCCGTTTCCGTAGTGAAGATTAATACCGGAATTTACTCATTAGAAACACTATTTATTTATTTCTTTTAAGTTTAAACAAATTATTTTTTTTTGTACTAGTAGTCATATAGTTAAAATAACAAACAAAATACATTTTCAATCGTATCCCAGCAAAACTCATTAGAACTCATTACAATCCCCATCGATCGCAACCAATTTTAAATTGTTCCCCCACGCAGAGAAATTACAGTATTTCCCATAGCCATAAGGACGAAAACGACGTGTGTTCGTTGTGGCCCAGTACTTACACATGTAAATCGAGGTCCACGGACATCGTAACCCCAGTCCAAAAACCATAACCCCAAGGAAAACAAGCCGAGTGACAACTGAAAATGCACAAATTTATATGTAAACGATGGAAATGATCAACATATATAATTACCAAAATTTTCCATGCTAACGTGTGAGAACCGGGAACTGAAAACGGGAACGAGAACGTGAATGTGATCTGGGGTTTGGGGGGAAAAACGGAGAGGAGATAATGTGGAGTAGTTTTTCCTTCGTTGACAACAGCGCGGAGATTATGAAAATCTTTGGTCATTGGGTTACGGGAAGAACGGGGACAAAAAGTAAGGGATCAGGGGTTAGTTTCGTATTAACATAATCAATGGGGTACAGTGCACAATCGGAACAGGAACCCTTACCCATATATATAATGTACTACTTAATATAAGAATAAAATCATTAATAAATAAATAAATATATATATAAATATAAATATAAAGTTTAGATATATTCAATTTTAATAAATACACGTATAAGAAATTATTCGATTAATTGTTTTTTTTTTAAATATGTTACTACAGTACCACATTTTTAAAATGTATACATAGACTTAAGCTGTTAGAGAAATTTTCAAAATGTTGTATACCATATGTTTAAAAAGCATTTCTGCAATTGGCCAGTAAAAAATTTAGAACAACAAATGTTGTTTCGGCTTAGAAGGGGCATTAAATTGTCTCTGATCTGCGGGGAACTCCTTTGGGTTTCTTCGCTCCGATCGTCCACTGTGTTCTCTAAGGGCTCAAATCAGTATCTACTTGAATGCACTTACGGAAAATCTCCAATCAGCAGCCACGGCCACGACCCCCTACTGCTGAGAGTTTCTTGGTCTTGGTCTTGGTTTCTCCGACTTTGAACCCCGAAAAGGGAAAACATATTTAAAGACAAACGGACGGACTTGATATTCGAGCGTTTTGAGGGAAGGGGAAGGTGAAGTGGCAAAAGCGACGTGAAACGTTTTCCAAAAAAAGGATAATAAGAAACGATGCGGCCGGCGAGCACTAGCGCATATCAATGGATCGCCAGCGAGGAGGTCGAAGGAAGCGTTTAATGCTAAACACTTGAGAGACCAGCCCAAAAAATCAAAAGTAAGACGAGCAAAGAAGAAACCCAGAAACGAGCGGAGATGCATACTTATAGAGGCATGTCTTATCTGCTGGCACATAAAGTGCCAAAAATTATGGCAAGAGGAAATTGAAAGTGTTGTCTGTCAAAGTCAAGAGGCGACGTGAAATTCGGGGACCCGAATCACATCGCAAGTGGCATTATGTTGTGCACTATAAAATCGTGTAGCCTTAGAAAAATAAGATCACTTTTGGTCAATTCGATTAAATATCACTCAGTTAAGCTGAACTTGTGTTCTTAATTGTTACAAAATAAGATTTTAGAAATTATATTTTCGTATTATTTTTTTATAAAACTCAAATGTTTTTGTTATTAAATTGTTAATTGTAAATCGTAATAGAAAACGTATATTTTTGTTCTTGGGTCTTAAATCAATTATATACACACTAAATACATGGTAAATACAAACCAATATATAACATAATATAATATAATACATAATTTTAACTTTACATTTACTAGCGGAAAGAGCGACATCTAGCGCTGTAGAATTATACTTTTTACGCCCTTCCATACATTTAACATTTTTTTATTCTACTTTATTGAATTTGCATTTGGGTATCATTCAAGTAAATTAAAAAAAGTAAAGCAATAATACATTCTTAATTCGTTTCCTTGTTGAACTCGTCATAAAATTTTCTTGCCATTTTTTTGTTTGTTTTATCTTGAATGGATATTAAAGGTTGCCAGCTATTCAAAACATTCATTTTTATGTCTATGCAAGACGCATTTTTGTTAGAAAAATCGTCAAAAATCCCAAAAAACACATCAAAAACTTGGTTTTTGTGTCAAAACCCTGGGAAATAGTGGTGAAAATGTGGAATGTCATACACCGTTGAAATAAAAGTGGCATACCAAAAGAAAGTAAAATATTTCGCGGATATATGTAGATATTATAAGTCTGGAAGCATTTAGATTATAAGAAATCAAAAATTGAATTAAGTAATTGAATATTAATTAATTAATATTAAGTAATTGAATATTAAAGGTTGCCAGCTATTCAAAACATTCATTTTTATGTCTATGCAAGACGCATTTTTGTTAGAAAAATCGTCAAAAACCCCAAAAAACACATCAAAAACTTGGTTTTTGTGTCAAAACCCTGGGAAATAGTGGTGAAAATGTTGAACCGTTGAAATAAAATTGGCATACCAAAAGAAAGTAAAATATTTCGCGGATATATGTAGATATTATAAGTCTGGAAGCATTTAGATTATAAGAAATCAAAAATTGAATTAAGTAATTGCTGAAAAGAGCATAGTCGTTGCAGAATTTATGTGGCCACCAACTTCGCTGTAAAAAAGTAGTATTAAGAAATAAACCAACTCGTATATTTTAAATATTATCTTTTCATTTATTTAGATTCATTTATTTTTCATTTTTATTTCTCATCTGCTCAATGTTTTATCATTTATCATTTGCCATGCGGTCTTGTTTAATGCCAAACAAAGTGACTTTTGTTCTTATATTTTATTAATGTAACTTACTCTTGCATGCAATTATGTATTTGACTTTGGTTTTGGGGGTAGATTTTCATTAATTTTATAAATGATTACGCTTTTCACATACATAACTACATACTGAGGGAGGCGAAACATAACCGAAACAATAACAAAACAACAGAAACCAGCTCGTAACTATATATTTTTTGGGTGACTAAGCATGGGTAAGCCCTCCATGGTACTAGAGTACTCCTGATCAAGTTCAGTGGTATTAATTTCTCGATTTTTCGCTTACATTTTTTCCGATTCTCTGGCAATACAGTATTCTCCGTTCGAAAACCCTAGTATATTGACCCAGCTAATCGCTTTCCCTCTTCGATTCGGTGTGTGTGTGTCTTCTTTTGTGTGTGTGTTTCCTCTGTAGTTGTTGTTTTTGCTGTTGTAGTGTGTGAGCTCCTTGTAAATGTAATTGTATAAATTTCCAAAAAAAAAAATGCCTAACTGTTTGCCCAGTAACGCCAGCGTTACGTGATCTATATGTATATAATATCTCCCGATTCTCCACACGATTGAAATGCCGACTTGCGAAACGAATTGACCCGTTTACCCTCGGCATTTCAAAGGGCCTGCTTTTTTTCTAACAACCGTCGTCGCCAGCGCACATTTTATAGTATTATTTGTAGTATCTTTTCAGTATAGTTTAAGTATATTTTGTTTTGTGTTTGGTTTCATTCTTTTTGTTTTGCCTTCGTCTTTGGTGTTTTCTGATTTCATTATAGTACAAAAACTTGCCTTTTCAATATCGTTTGAATTATTTTCTCTCTCTTCTTTTTATTTTTTGGTATTTTTTGTGTTTTTGGTATTTTGCCAAGTTTTTGGTATATTGTTTTTTGCTTTTTGTCGCCTGCTTTATATAGTTATAAATACATGTAATACGTAATATATTTTTATGTATAGCTATTAAGTTACCTCAAAAAAAAGTTTTATTTACGGCTAACAGCACAACAAACAGTTTTCATTTGGTTTTCCTTCGGCAACGTTACTTGTATTTTCCAAAAAATTTGGCCAACCTGTGCTACAAATGCTGATCTCTCGTTACCCATATAAATATTTATTTTAAATATTTAGTTTTTATTTTTTTGTTTTTAAATAGTTATATACACTGATATAATTGGCGGCACGTGAAAAGGGGGAAATCAGACAAAAATACAGGGGGTAGGAATATGCATAGAGTGCCTTCACTAAACGATTCAATTTCAGTCAAAAATTGAGTGGGGAATGGGGAGCGCTAGGGATATAGGATATAGGATATAGCATACAGGATACAGGTTATAGATAGATGCCTATATAACTTGCTGGTATCTTTCGGTTTTGCTTGGCATGTTTCTAACAATTACATTTAGATACTTTTCGATTTTTAACTATAAATTGCTTCTTTTTATGGGGCTCTTTCTCCGGATGATTTATACTGGGGGCTTGGACTTTAAGTTCTTCGAATTACACATACACGTACAACATTTGGTTAGGTTAAGTTTCAACTCGAGTATACATCAAATGTACGTTACTGCAAATATGCCTAGTATATAAGTGTAAATGTTCGGTTAATACTCTGGTAAATTACATAATCGTATAGCTACACATGTACCAGTATCTCTGTTGGGAAATCTCTCTAGTTTTATTTTTCCGGCTCTATGGTTCTACGGACACGAAAAGACTTCACTCGCAGGGAAATTCGTGTTACAAATACAATATATAGTAGCTTATTTTCTTCGGTTTTTTTTTGTGAGAGGAGAAAAAAGTCATTTGGTTTCGTTTGTTTTTTTTTTCGTTTTTCTTTCTTTTATTTATTTCACTCAATTTGTTAAAGTAGCTTTTTGTTTTTTTTTTGTTTTTGTTTAAGTTTGCCATGGACTTGCCGTCATTTTTGTTTTTGTCGCAACTATGGTTTAATCAATAATATATGTATGTAGGTAATATATCTTGCTGTATTTGCTGAAGGTTGATTAAGTTTCGAAAAAAGTAAATCTGAAGCGCACATTTACAATGCTGCTTAAATTGCTATAAAGTATCTTGTTCTTCAACTTTGCTGCTCGTTTTGTTGTTAAATGATATTTTTAGACCATCAAGGTTCCATTTCATTTCATTACATTTCATTCACATATCATACCATATATATTTGTTATAAAAAAAACCACTATTTTATGCGCGGATCCTGCCCGCTTAAACACAAAAAAGAAATAGTATATAGCACTAGGTCTGAAAAAATAATGTTTTTTGGGTAATAAATTAATAACAATAAAACATAATATTAAAAAATAGTTAAATTATGCGCTTTTAGAATTTGGCCTGCCACATTGATCGATCCGCGCACCAGCGCCAGTATCGTGACTTTACAATATGCATATAGTATATATATTAGGTATAAATAATCGTGTTATAGCCAATGACTTTTTCGGTTCATATATTGTGTTTTTTGTGTGTTTGTTTTGCTTTGCTTTGCTTTGGTTTTGCATTTGGAAACTAAAAATTGCTTGTGCTTGAAGAGTCTTTTCTGGTGGTTCGTGGCTGGTTTTGTAAATTGTGTGTATTTTGCCAGTTAAGTTTGTTCACTAAATTCATCAATGCTCCCTCTCTTTCTCTCTTTCCGGGTGACTTGTCTCTTTCGTTTCTAAATTGTGTGGCTCAGTAAGTAGCTTAGTAACTAGTAAATAATGATATTAGTTATATATAGCGAAAAATATTTGCGAAGACAGCGTTTAACATTATTTTCGGTTTCTCTCTCTCTCTCTGTATTTTCTTCTCTTTTCTCTTTCTTTCACTGGAAGCAAATCAAATTGCAATTTAAATTGAAAATTGAAATGGAAATTCATTAGCTAATTGTACAATAGTTTTTCCTTTCATTCCGATTCCTCTTCACTTCTGTTACATCCTTATTGATGTGTGTTTTTGGCTTTGTTTTCATTTTAGTTTTAGTTTAGCTGCAACAATTGCTAGCCGCTTGATTTAAATTCGAGTCCAACATTTAAATTATTTACAAATAATATTAAAAAAAAATATTTATATCATATATATTACTATACAACTACAGTCTGGCTGTAGACTGTTTCTTTACTTTTTGTTTGGGTTTTGGGGTTTGGTTTTTGGGGATTTAATTTTAGATTTAAATGGTTTCAAGACGGGTTGCTTTCAATTTTGGTTTAATTCACTGTTTTCTTACACTTTACATGCTTGTTTTCTGTTTTTTTCGCTTCTCTCTCTCTTGGGGTCTAAATCATAAAAACTTCATTTGTGTTGCTGTTATCGGTTATCAGTTAGAGCTAACATTATCAATCAAGTAAAATGAATCTTTTCGGGCATGCAAAACATTAAAAACTTAAAACTTCTCTAAAGCTTAGTCGTATTGATTATTCCTTTCCGTTTGTTTTCTTTGTTAATTATTTCACATTAGTCAATGGTTTAAAAGAGGAGACTTGGGTTAGCTGTTTTCCTCCTATTGAAGTCCTACTTCAAATGAATTTATGAATTTAACAAAAATCATTTGCCTACACATGCAACAAAAATCGTCTGTATAATGGGGTGTTTCTTTTTTTGGGTTAAAGGGGGCGGTAGTTTTGGTATCTTCTTAATATTACTTATCAATGGGTTTTCTCATTATCTTTGCTTTGTCTTGGATTTAGTTTGTGTAAGATTTCTCTTAGTTACCTCTTCTCCTCCTTCTTTTTTTCAGTGTATTCAACATCAATCTCTGTTTTCCATTAAGTGAATTTCTAATTTCCTTTTTTCGTTTTTCTCTAGGCTTTATAAGTTAAACGGTACTTTTGCTATTGCTGTTTGGAGTTTTTGTATGCTTTAAACATCTGTTTAATATTTCTTTACTTGGCTTTTTGTTTTTTTTTTGGTTTTTTTTTTTTTTTGCATTTTTCCAAGAGTTTTTCTTTGTTTTTTTTTTGTGGTTTTTCGTTTTTGGTTTTTGTTTGGTTTTTGTGTTAATAGTAGTCACTAACGTAATAGGAAAAAGTTGTGAGCCTTTTCCTGTATTTTGCGATAAATTCCCACGACTCTCCGTCACATTCCACCGTGTTGCGGTTGGTTTTGGCAGCCACCCGTCCTGGGTGCCACGCCCCCGCCGGCAGCGCCCCCGCCCCCAGCCCCGCCCAGCGCGGAGGCGGCGGTGGTTCCGGTGGTGGTGCTCTCGCCCCCACTCTCGTCGCCCTCCTCTAATTCGGCGAGGTTCTCCTGGTCGGACTCCTCCAGGGTTACCTATTTATAATATAATAAATGTTAATACATAATATCAATAAACTTATTTAATTAAGTGTCTGACAGAACTGACAAGGCTAATTAACGGCTTGAAAGAAAAGCCTTTGAAAATAAACGGAATACGTATTCAATCTTCCAATCGGTGAATAGATCGTTTTCAACTATTCAGTCCTCATGTTTGAATATCTTTGGTAAACATTGCAATAAAAGAGCTATATGTGGCACGAAAAGCCGATATATTCGCATTGTTTTTTACGCATGTCAGTGCTGTAATTTTATACTTTTCTCAGGGATATGGGGCTCACTTGAAAGCGTATCCTGTCCTCCTGCGGATTCTCATCGACCCCCGACGGCGGCGGCGAGGGCGGTATCATGCTCTGGTAGTAGTCTCTGTTCTCTTCAAGCGTGTCGAGTATGTCCTGGGCATCCGGGTGCACCAGGTCCGCCCAGGTCTCCCACAGCGGGTGGACGATGTAGTCGATGAAGCCCACCTGCGACTTCTCGATCGTGGCATTGTGGCGATCGCACATGGGACTGATGTCCATGCCGTTCTCGCGCTCCTTGTCGCCCTGCAGGAAGAACTCCTCCATGAGGAGCGCCACCCAACGCTTGTAAAGCGGCAGCGGCTTGGTGGGATTGCTCAGATCGGCGCAATGCACCAGATTCTCGAGCACCTAGTGGGGTTTTAATGATATTTGTTAGTAAAGGGAATGAGAATCGGTTAATAAGCAAACAAACCTGTATGCGATCGGTGTAATTGTCCAGCAGCAGGACCCCAGAACCGGCCACCTTCTTGGTTTCCACCATTGTCTTCAGGTCGGCCAGCAAACTCATGTGCTTGGACATGTCCGTGGACAGCACAATATCAATAACCATTTTCCTCAATGTTTGGCGTTGTTTCCTGGCAAACAAGCACAAATTAATAATATGTACAATATTAAATTAAATTAAATGTATTTACTGCATGTAATTCATATAACAAGTGCAAGGGTATTATTTTTTATTTAAATTATTTTTTTTTTATTTATTTCATTAAAGTTAGCAAATATCTGCCCGACTCACATCAAGTGGGAGGAGGCAAGGACAGGTGAGTTAGGGTGTGTGTTACAAGTACTCACTTTTGCATATTACAGAATATATCACATCCTTGATTTTGCAATAATTTAAAGGCAACAGCTAAATGATGATTTTCCAAAACTGATTCGTCATTGTACATTAATGCTAGTTCGGAACCTGTGTGAAAACAATTTTCATTTGGTTAGTATTTCTGTGCCGCGGAACTTGTAGGCAATAGAAAATAAAACACCCACTTGAGTTAACCAAGAACTGATTGGTTAAGCCGGGATGATCAACATCGTGAATGCAAGCGGCGAACAGAGCCCCGCCCACCTCGAGCGGTGTGAATACGCCCTCCAGCGCCGGTGTATTGAGTAGCACATTGGTGCTCTGGGTCACGTCGGCCGCATGGAGCGAATTGTGAAACGGATTGTCTTTGACGTAGTGGTCCTCCAGAGTAGTCATAAAGTTAAGAAAAGTTTTCGGTGGTATCATAAGACTGGTCAGTAATTCTCTACTCTGTGGTGGCGAAAAGAAGAACGCAGGGGAATATTAGTCATATATTATTTATTTGTTGATGGTTTGCTAAACAAGAAACCCGGTCCCGTTCTAAAAGGTTTCTTTACCCTACTTTTCCCCGAATTAACATTTACCCACCTGAAATATGGTGTATGCCACACTGGTGAGCGGTCGGTTGACGCTGAACTCGCCGATGCTGAATATCTGGATGCCCCAGGTGTCCAGTTCGCCGAGGAGCGTACCCAGCTCGTTTTCCCTGGGCGTCTCCACGCCGAAAGTGGGCAGCCGTTCGCCGGTGAAGCTGTTGGTGTGCGAAAGGGGCCGCTTCACGCCGCTGATCTGCGACATGGGCGGACCGCGGGGCGATCGGGAGCGGGCGTACTGGCCGGCGGACTGCTGACCGGCGGCAGCGTTGGCGGCCACCAGCTCCGGATTATCCTCCACGCGCAGCGAGGGCAAGTCGAACTCCTGCTGCTTGTCTGTGGAAAGTCAAATAGTCAGTATGAAATCACAGAGTTGAAAAGGGATCATAAACCAAACATATTTTACTTATTTTTTTAAACATAATTTTAAATTATTTATGAATTAAATGTTAAAATATAGTTGAATAAAAAAATATGGTATTCCTTTTATTTTTGTGAATAAAATTTATTAACATTAATAAATACTTTTTGTATTTATTCTGCTTATTTAAGGATGCCTTTTGTTATCTAGAAATCCAACTTAAATAATACCCAACTATTGTGATGTTATAGCAACACTATTATATATATGTAGTGAGTATCTCAGAGGGCCAAGATAAACAGGCATAATGTACAACACATCGCCTGCCACAAACACACATGTGTCAGAAGAGCATAGCTTCCGGTTATATCCGGCTATATCTACATCTATATCTGACTATCTGAATGGTGGGGGAAATGTGGGCCAGGGATGTGGATGTGGATGTGGAGCAGCGACCCAAGTCCTTCAACTCGCATTTCTCAGGGCCTTCTTACTCGGTGCTTAAACAGCCATATAAATATTCAAGCGTTCGACGGACGGCAAACAAGCAAAACTTTTGCAGTTTCCCATTCAAAATTCCATTGCCTACTTTTTGGGGCGCACCCTTAACCCTTAACTCTGTGCAGCCCTCACACAATTGTTTGTTTGACGTTGTTTTTGCCATGGAGAGCAAATTCAAATTGCCTGTGCATAAATTGATATTCATTTCAAATTCCAAATTGCGTTGAATTTTCGGTTCCCGGTAAAACAAAAACTACACATGAGACATAAATAAGCCAGGAGGCAATGCTTTTTTAGTATTATTATTTGACAACCAAAATATGCCTCAAAAATGGCAGGAATTCGTCCTTTTAATGGTAGTAATGTTTTCTTTTATACATTCAACTGTTGCAAGATTGCAAACATGGAAGATTCAAGTTAAAACAAGAGTTCAAAGCCTTTAATTATAGTTTAATTAAGCTATTGTACTGAATTTCCATAAAATTGGCTTATCATTTAGCTGTAGTCTGTTGGCTAATAAAAACTTAAGCTAACAACAGAAGGACTTAAATTCAACTTAAAGTCCTTTGTGCCCTTCTAAAAGTTTCTGAAAAATCAAAAAAAAAGTTGTTCTTTTGCCAACTCTATCAGCTTGACAAAGCATAAATATTCTCCGAAAATTCTTGAAGTTTTTTTCCAACAGTTTTCTTTCTGTTTTTCACTTTTTACGACACATTTTTTCACAGGTTCCAAAAATAAATGATTGGGGAAATGTGTATATGTTCACCTGATGTGTGTGGCAGCATCTTGTTTTGCATATGCTGTCTCCACTTTCTCCTTTCGTCTTGACTTTGCTATTTCTTTTTCCTACGGTATTATTGCATAGTAACTGAAATCTGTTTTTGCCCACCATAATTTTTCGGAGGGTTTCCCCCTTTCCTTTCCATTCCATTCCATTCCATTCCATTCCTTTCCTTTTCTTTGTTTTTTTTTTATTATTATTATTTTTTTGACTTTCGAGGTCGAGGCTTCTGCTTCAAATGAAGTGTTACAAATAGACATTAGGCAGTCGTGTGTGTGTGTGTGTGCAGTGGGTTTTTTCTACTGTTTGTATCCCCCAAATGCGATTTTATGCTTGATAAACTACGGCAACAAGAAGATAGTTGGGTTAGGCCTGAAAATTCTAGTGAAAAGGAAGCCTTAGGATCCCGAAAAGGTCACCTTATCCCCTGGATCGCCCACTATGTCGCCCCATATTTTTTTTACTGGTTGCCCAGTGAAGCAGAAATATGGACAAATGTGCAAATATGCCCGATATCCTCTTGCTTCTTTTTCCCCTTTTTTCCCCCTTTCCCCCATTTTTCTGTTTTTTTCGCTTTTCGACTAGGTGTGGCCCTTTTGTTTAGCCACGCCCCCGACACGCCTGCCGCCCACTGAAATAGCACAGCAAAAATTGGAAATCTCTGCCTTTCTAAAATCGTATTAAAAGTACGCAGGTGTATATTTGTTTATTCAGAAAATCGACAGTAACACCAGCAAATTAGTTGTCATTTATAATCTCACTGGTTTGCCAAAATAATCTAAATAAAAACTAGTCCTTAAAAAGCAAATATTACAGGCATAAAAATATAATTACATAATAAAATAAACTTTGTTTTATAAGGTATTATATTAATATAATAGCAATTCTTTTTGATATTCTTTATAGTATAAAAAATGTAACGTTGGTACAAATTTTCAATCAAAATAAATTTAAGACAAAAACAATAATGTTCAAGGCAATATTGTATTTAGTATTTAGTTATAAAATCACATCTGCAGAAAAAGTATCAAAAATACTTTTTAAAATTATTATTTAAGGCTATATAATATTTAGTTTTTAGTTTCGAAACCACATTTACAAAAAAACTATCAAAAATACTACTATCAAAAATACTAATTGCAATGATTTTTGGCCTCCAACCCCTCTTAACTTTTTAACCCTCCAAAAAATTCCCTTTCCCGCACAAATTGCCACAAGAGAAGGGGTTTTCTAGTCTGGACAAAGACGGTAAGTGGAAAGTGGCGGAGGGAAAACTGTTTGGGAAAATACGCAAGGGGAGGGGGAAAACTTTTCGGGGAAAATGGGGTAAAGCATTGGTCGTGCGGAGGTCTTCGCTTTGGGGGCTTGGTTCGCAGGTTAAACAATGAAATTTCCACTTCATCTGTTTTTATGCTGCTCTGCATAATTTAATTTTGCACTTTCAATTCGAGAAAGGGGGAGAAACAGGATAAAGGGGGAAAGCGGGACAAAGGGGGAGAAAGAAAGAAAAAAAGGGAGAAAGGGAGAGAAATGCGAAGAGGAAGAGAAGTCGACTTGTTTTTCTCCAACAAATGCCCCAATATTATTCTTTATCTTCTATATCTAGACTGATAAACTATCATTCTTAAGACTGGATTTATTATTTGTTGTTTAAAACTAATACATGCAAAACTCTCGATTTTGCACTGTAAAAAACGTTTTTAGAACCATAAATTGAGGAAATGCATAGGTGATTAGACAATCCATTTAAAAATTAACAACAAACAATAATTCATTTAAACATGAAATATAATTTATAAGCTTTACCATTTAAATTCGAAAAAAAAATGTTAACCCTGATTAGTTTATGAATTTCAAACATCTATCTTAGCATTACTTGTTCTAGGGTATCGTTATCGCGATCTTTTATTTTCAGCTTTCTTCCACGATTTGCATAACTTTTGCTCGCATTTTGTCGACCCAATTTGTTGGCCATAGAGATTGAGATGGAGATGAGGATGAAGATGAAGATGGATGGATGGTGGATTCGGCTACTTGAACTCAATTCTTTCGCCTTCTCCCGCCGATGTGGTTAATGCGATTTGATTGCATACTTTGGTGAGCCGAACAGCAAGAAAAACTACGAAAAAAAGACGAGCAGCCTGAAACAAATTGCAGCCAGCGAAAGTTGTTGCCGCAAAACGTCTTAAATAACTTCCAGCGCGGAGCGTTGGATGGTTAAGGTGCTCATAAGGGGTTAAGGGGGCTGGAGGGGGTTAACAGTCATAGTTTCTGGCATTGATGACGAGGCGGAATCTCAAATAAGGGGTAAATAAAATTGGAAATACAGAGGAAATGATTCGAGTGTTGGGATTGTTGTGCAATTGCTTTGCTAAAAGTTTGCCATCCGTCTTGGGTGGAAAATGAATTCCATAGTTAGATGGATCGATGGGGATTTAAGTTTATATGGAAATGAGATTCAGAATGTTTGCTTGAAAAATCCCATAAAATTTTCCTATTTTTAATAATTAAATCGTTGCTAAACTCAAATTTAAATTGACTTACATCGTATGTAATACACTAACATTTTTGTATCGAAACTCACCCAAAAATGTGGAACAAATGTATTCGGAAATCTGATTTCCCGATCTGCTGGACTCGCTGAAGTGTGACAGCTCCTTGTTGAGCATGCGTTTGAACTGAAAAAGAAATTCAAATGTTGGTTATGACCAAGGTAAGATTAAATGTTAAGAAGACGATTTTCCATAACTCGAACTTGAAGTAATTAAATATTTGTTTAATATAAAACAACTATGTACTGTGGATGTTGTTAACCAAATGCTGATTATCAAATTAACAAAATTATCCAAATTTGTTTCAAGACATCTTATTAAGAGTAATAACACTTTAAAACACTGTGATCATATCGATATACATATGAAAATTCGTTTATCGATTTTTTGTTTATCTCCAATTTATATTATATAAATGTTTATGTTTTACATATCTTCAAAAACCCAAAAAAAAAAAACACATTAAAAACTTGGTTTTTGTGTCAAATCCCTGGGAAATACTGGTCAAATGTTGGAATGTCATACACCGCTGAATTCGTAATAAAATTTCCAACCGAATGGCATTCACAGTTAAAATTTTTTCAGATTTTCAATTTTCTGCCAAAAATGATGATGTACCCCCTTACAAAAAAGTCAGGAATTTAAACAAAAATAAATTTTTCAAAAAACGTTTTTCTAAATTCTGTTATTGTGTCAAAACAAAACTAATTGTTTTAAATCTATCAGGGATGGATGGTATAGGTTGCCATCTGTTTTTATTTTTGACTTTGGGTCTTATTTTGGCAAAGTTACAAAAAAAAAAAATATTTCAATTTGTCAAATTTTTGCAAGAAATTATGACGCAACCCCTTAGGCGATAAGGATTTTTAAAAAATAAACGATTCAATATTTTTAACTTTGCTTTGGCGATTTACTCCCTAGTTCTAGTTTGGGAAAATGACTTAAGATTATATAACACAACTAACCTTGAGCGAGGCCATGTCGGATACGCTGCGATGGGTCTGGATGGTCTCCAGCTGGTCGAGGCACCAGTCCAGCTCCTCGATGGTGTCGGTGGCCAGGCGGGTGTAGGCCTCCTCGCCCTGGGAAAGCGGGGCCCCCGGGGGATTTCCCGATCGCGAGGCCGACGAGGATTGGTTGGGCCGCCTGGATCTTGATGGATTAATACACAGTTTCCCCACACACACACACACGCACACACAAACAGGGCGGTTTTGAAAATGGGGGAGGGGGGTTCGGGGTTTGGGGTTGGCAAATACAACAAACAAACAAAATCATCAAACAAACACAAACAAAACAACAAACAATCGAACAAACATTTAAGGGAGCATGGTATGCAAATGTGAAAATGATCAAAGTAAAATAAAAGGATAAACATTTTTAAAAATTTTTGGAAGTAGGGATTAAGGAATATGGAATTTATGGATTATATGGTGAGGTGTGTTAGGTGACGTAGCATGGTGTGGGTGTGGTGAAGAGAACACAACATTTAGATTTGTGGTTTTGCAAAAGTATCGGTGACACATATAGACACATATGCAAAATGGTTAAGATGAACAGAGAGTAAGAGAGAGAGAGAGAGATTGAGAGAGAGCGGAAGAAAGAGAGAAAAAATATTTATATTTGTGAACTTTTGTAGTTTTTTTTTTTTTTTGGGGGGGGGACAGGGGTTAAACTTTATTTATTTATTTATTTATTTATATACAGCAACCACTCCAAGTCAGGAGTCGGAATGTCTTTCTGGGGGCCTGCAGGGGGTTAAGGTTAGGTGTTCGTTTTAACCCTTTTTCTCAAGACAAGCATTTTATCACATTTTTCTTAGAGTTTCCTTTAAAATGACTTATTCAAAAATTCAAATCCCAATAAGATTTTGTAATCAAATTTTAATTAAAGATCAACAGTTTTCAAATGGTCTGACTCATGAAATAATTAATTTTTCCAAGAGCTAATGCATTTACATTGATTATTGACATTTAATTAAAGTGGTTTTAAAACTATTTTTTTTGTAAATATTAAAAATCACTATTATTAGTTTCATATACGTTTTGCAGTTTACTTAATTAACTTACAGTCTAGAAATAAATTTAGTAATAATCAGAAGCCATTGCCATTGGAATAAAAATATTACTCAAAACCCTGAGAAAATAGGTTATAACCCCAGGGATATTAGTGGTTAATCACATATCAAACAGCCAACAGAAAGGAGCAATCAACAAGACAACAATTTCCCGGTTGAACAACCCATTGTAGCAATTGTTCTTTGGAAAATCATTTTCTCACATCTCAGCAGAAATGTTGTTCTCTAATTTTAAGCTGAATATGTTCATGGATATATTCGTCGGAAAAAATCGTATAAAATTCTTTTACTGTCCCAGTTGTTGTGCCAATACACACATACGTGTAGTATTTTTGGCACACTTCGCGTCAATTTTCTGTTGAAGTATGGGGTTAAACGTGGGATCTGAGTGGTGAGTGCACCTTCAATCTTTTGTGGGGTTTGGTTTTATTTATATTTTTCATCTACATCTATATATATATGTATTTTCATTGACCGACCATCAAAAGTTATTGTTAGATGAGAGTGTGATTTTGTTTGTTGTCATTGTGGTCGCTGCTTTTGATTAATTAAAGTGTGAGACGACAAAAAAACACACCAAGAGCAGAGAGAGTGAGTAGGTTAAGGCGAGCAGAGAGCAGGCAAGGCAGCACACACATAGGGGTTAAGGGGGGTTAAAACAGAGTGAGATTTCATATTTTTTCGGGGTCAAGTACATTGCATATATAGTACACAACAAATTGAATGTCTCCGGGGGGTTAAAGGGGGTGGTTAGAGGGGCGGTGGGGTGACGTTGGGACGGGGCCTTGTCAAGGTCACAATACACTTACTTGTTTGATGCTGGAACATTTGTCAGACTTAATAAATTGTTGCGCACTGAACGTAAGCTGGCTAAAATTTGGGCGAAAGGCGTCACAATGAGATCCTCGCCATGGCTGTAAAGAAAAGTTTGGAAGAAAAAAAAAATAGAAAGGGAAGAAATGTGGGATATTATTAGTAAGAATTTTGATTATTTAACTAATTAAAATATTCGTCATAATACGCAAAAAAAACTAAGAGAAGAGAAACCGTGAGTGAAACATGCAAATACTACATAACTTATACCTTATAAATATGGAACATTATTCTGTGCTTTTTGTTTCAATTTTAAAATGGTGTAAAACACTAAAACTTTTAGACTAAAATTTGTATAATAGGAGGTCAAAGAATCTTGCAGTTTCCAAAGATCATATCATATAATTTACTTAGTTTACTAACTATTATTTAAAATAAAAATAGGGGTTTTTTTAATAAAATTATTTTGTTTCATACTTTGTTAATTTGCAACCACTGTTAAGGATGCAACAAAACAAAACTTATAATTAACTCTTGCAGTTTTTCTCATTACTCTGAGATTTGCCACAATTATCGGAAAATGTGTTTGGAAACCTATTAAAGCGACCAACCAAATCCCCTTACATGGTACAACTTTCGGAGGCTCTTTGATGCATTGCCAAGAACAGCGAAAACATGACCATAAATAACACGAAGAATTTTAAACGAAAATTTGGCTAATTTATTTAAATTTTCCTTTTTTCGTTTTTTCTTTTTGGTTTATTTAATCGAAACTATTTTATTTGTGAGGCTTTCATTTTGAGTAGAATTTAAATGGCAAAATGTTGTGCAAATTGGAAACGTTGCTTTAAAAAGGTCAGTGAATGTTCTCAATGCCCAAGCAAATACAAAAACAAAAAAACAGAAGCGAAAAAAAAGGACGCCATGGCGACGGCCAAGTTTCGGTTTCTATCCTTCGCTCTTTTTTTTGGCAGTTGAAAATTCCACATTGTGGAAATTGTGGAAAACATATAGAAAGATCCGGACTGGGAGGACTTGGACGGCGGGGTGGGGGGCGTGGCACATGGGCCGGACTTTTCTCCTTAGCCACTTGGCTCGGAAATTTCGCTGTGTGCCAAAAATAAAACAAAAGGAACCCGAAAATTAACGGAGAAAAAGCGAAAATCGAAATGGGCAAAAACGAGGAGGAGAAACGAAAAACGTTGACAAACAAAAAATGGCATAAATTAATAATAACAAAAAATAAAACGCTAAATACATATAGACAGATGTATAGGTATATAAAGATATCTGTATATGCGGGGGCGTATACGTCGGTGACGTCACAAATTGGGAGACAAATTAAGCGCAGAACACGCGGAATGGCGCCAAAGAATTAAAAAATAAATTGAAGACACAAACTAGAGGACCGGACAAAAACAAATATTTTATTCAAATTTTGTTTGCAGTGAATAATTGGATTCATTTTGTTGTCTAATATGTAGAAGTTCATCGAAGGGTGGACTTTAATAACTAACCATAAACAATATGAGTTCTCGTTTTTAATTTTCTATATTACTATAAAAATAATAATATTATTAAGATAACTGAAAGCTTTACTGAATAGTTTGGGGTTTCTAACCAGCAATTTCGGCACTCATTTTCCACTTAGCCAAACTGCCAGACAATAATAATCGAAAAAGGCGGCGAATGAAAATAAATATTAGCATAAAAAATGCCATTGAGGGGGCAATTTGATTTTGATGCATGTACAAATGACCTCTTTTGCGGCCATATATAGTACACAACAACAGAGGCACAGGCGGCCCAAGAGAAGTGGCTCATTTACAGGCTGCGTGTGCTTTTTTTTGTGCTTTGAATTCACATTTCACATATCTCTCAACGCCTGTCTCGCGCCCCTTTTTGCTTAACACAGTGTTGTTTGGATTGCCTGACTTTTGGCACGTCGCATATAGCGTGAAACCGACCCGAAATCGTGTCAGACATTATCCATCGATAACCGCAAACGATTCTGGAAAACGGCGGGAAAACCAACCGGTCCGAATCGCCCAAAGAAAAACAAACGATTTTGTCTGCTTTTGTACTCGAAGAACTTGCTTGATGGTTAATTTTTTTGTTGACACTGATTTGTCATTTCGTTTAAAGAAATACTTGGGGTACGTCCACCCCTGCTATTTTGGTTTATTAATATTGCGACGCATTTTCAACACGCCCCCAATTGCCAAGAAATCGCCTCTTTAGTTGAAAACACAACGTGACTCATCGAAAAAGTATAATAGGTAAATCACAAACATAAATGTATAGTGACAAAAGCAGGTAAACAAGGTAGTAGTTTCTAAATTAGGAAGGCTCTCCTGAATTAAGTTAATTAAAACTCAAAAATCACTAAAATACAAAACTTACCAAATTAAATCACCCTTACAAGTGCCAAAAAGGTAAGCCATTAAAATATTAAATATCATTTATATTAAAAATATTTAAGAAAATTGCTTTTTATTTTTGGAGGCCCACTATTTAAAGCACAATGACAATTTGCACCAAGTATTTAAGTTGGACACAATTTCTAATAAAAATGATTTTCAAAATTTGACACATGCTATAACCCTGATGACATCGTCTTTTAAATGAAAGAATCTTAAAACTCAAATTCCTAATAAAACTATTATATATTTAAGCCCAAAAACTTGTGAGAAGTCCGACAAAAAATAAATACAATTTCTCGGAATTTTTGTGACAATATTTTTGATAGGTAAGAAAATTTCACCACATGCATAGCTTTTTGCCAAAGGTTTTTTCACACACACTTGACGAGGGAATTCCCTCAGTACAAAGGTAATCTCTAAGGAAAAATAACTTTTCTGGGTAAATAAAGTAATGCCAATTAAGTTTTTAAATAAATATAGCAGATGCTAAAGGCATACAGAAAATTAAAGACCAGCCAATATATTAGTATGGAAATATTCGGTAGAGAAAACGAGAACCATAGATCATAATTAATGGAGGCATTTATAGAAGACACGCGGCTTGTTGGGTGTCATTAAATTGGAATATAGATATGTGTATTTAGTTATTTCTTGTATTTTCGATATCGCTTTAGATATATGTGCGAACTATTTCGAGACCTGGCCATAAATGGCCCTGGGGACAGGGGTGTATAGGGATTTACCTGCGCTGCGACTTGATGGAGAACATATTGTCCCGATCGTTCAGTATAGTCACAGCCAGATCGTCCTGCATTATCGAGGGTATCATGTTGAAAAAACTGTGCACTCGCGGCAGCGACTGCGAAGATGCTGAATTTTTGTTCAGCATTTTGGTAAATCTACCACAAATTGCAAAAAAACAATAACAAAAATAAAAACAATATGTTTATGAATAAAAAATAGTCCCACTTCTGGCCCACATGGGCCCACTTGTTGAAAGTTTATTTTTGTGTTTGTCCTTCTCTCGTTTTTTTTTTTTTTTTTTTTTTTTTTTAATTGAAAGCAAACGGTTTGCTGGTGTTTTTTGAGATTTGCGCGGCTTGTTTGAGATTTTTTGAAATTTCCACGAGCAACCGCTAAACGAGAATGAAGCGCGTCCCGCGGCAGAAAAATACAGAAAACACAGAGGCCAAACACACAGGTCCACAGAGGCGAAAAAAGAAAAATTGTAGTAGACGACGAATCGCGCGCGAGAGCAGAGCGCTCAAATTATATTCAACTTAAAAAATATTTCTACCCGTCGCTCGCGAGAGCTTGTATTTTGTTATTTTCATTTCGAGTAAGATTTCAGCTTGCTTTTCATCTTCATCAGGCAACAGCATTTGCTCAATTATTGGAATACAGGGTGTTATCGGAGTACTTTTATTTTAAACTATTTTAAAGCATTATATCAAATTTAATATAGGTTAAAATTAAAAATAAATCGATAAAATAACTATATATTTTCTTTTACAATCTCAAGCACTTTGGGTTTAACGAAAATCAGATATCAAGATCTTGAAAATATTTAATAAGAAAAGTATATAAAGTAGAAGTATATTTGTATATATTCAATATTCAAGGGCTTGAAACTCATATAATTTGGGTATTATTAATAACTGTTTGATTATTTATTTGGAATATTTTATTTCCATACAGACTACTTCGGAGCACTCTGTATGGGAAGTACGTCCTTGCCTGGCACTTCATCATCATCATTACCATTCGACGTCGTCATAGGCATCGCTACTACAATCATGATCATCGCAATGACGGAATTAGAGGAGAGAGCTGACGCTCAAATAATTTAATTTTCCTTTGCAGAGCACCCTCTTTGCCTTCCACCCTCTTTTCCCATTGCACTTACCTACGCTAATGTTTAATAAATTCCCCCTCTCGGTTTTCTGCTGTTGCCTTCAATTGCTGGCTAGTATTAATAGTATTAATATTCTTGTTGTTGTTGCTGCTGCAGCTGTTGGCATTTGATTAACGCTCATTAGCGTCAAGAACAACAAGAACAACAACAACAACGAGAGCCCATCAATTTTTAAATACGCCAATTATTTTAATATCTTTCGTATGATAGAGGAAAAATATATAGAAAGCAAGCGAGAGCAGAGTTCTCTAAAAAAAAAGAGAATAATATTACAAGAATTCTAATAATAATTTTGGACTAGCAATTTTTTTTAATTATTACCCACGCAACACTTGAGCTGATAACTAGATAATATGGGCCACATTACTCATACGCAGCGTGCGCCGAAATGAAACTTTGCTTGGCCCTGCACCTAATGCATTGACTGAGCGATTGCAGTCATTACATGGCTTTCAACTCCACGGTCTCTAATCTATGCACAAGAAAAAAATCTAGTTCATCTGAAAAATAGTAATGTAAATAGTTTTTACTACTGTGCAATTATAAAAGACGAGAATTGGTAGTGAAAAGAAAATAGTTTTACCTAATGAAAATGTTGATATTAAAATTATGTTATAAACAAATTAAAAACCATTTTATTTTATTTTCATAGAGCCAGTAGCAATAACGGCATTTAAAATAAAGTGATATTAGTTGAAATGTGAACATTTCTACAAGTGCATTCATAAACAAAAGCCCACTCTAGTCGAGTGTCTAAGCATTTCGCATAAACACTCTCGTGGGGAGTTCTCTGCGGGATTTAGTCTTAATCCGACTGCAGCTAGAGATTTATGGGAATTATGCAATCAAACAGTTGCTGTTGCTGACCACATTTCACATTTTGAATAAGCTGCCCTGAGAACTAGTCAACTATAACCGTTTGAAATGCCAATTAAAATATAAAGTACTAAATGAGCTTTTGCTGGTCTTTATTTGTTAAGTACGAGTCAGTAATTACACTAGATATATATTTTTTAATAACATTACGACTTTGGGTAAAAAGAAAAACGTTTTTATTTTAAAATTTTAAAAACTGATATGGTAATCTATATGTGCGCCATAAAACTGATATCTATTAGCAAAAGTTTAGCCATAATATTATTAGTAGTTTTTGTTTTAGAAATTATTTTTTGGAGACTATATTTAAAGTGACTGTTGTTCGGGTAACTACTATAGTTTATTTTGTCCCTCATTCGTTTTGGCCATATCATGGAAGACTTCACTCCGAGCTGCCGATATTAAAGCACTTAATTTGCATTTCGCTTATGGTTCAGCACAGCCATTTCCCATTTTCCATTTTCCCCCAGCTAGCTAGCCTGCCATTTCCATGGCACACACAACGTGCTATAAAAAGGAAATTCTATTTTTTTCGCCGCTGGGTGTGAATGACAAATCTGCAATGTGCAATGCACTTTTCCTATACATATACATATACATATACATATACATATACATATACATATACATATATATATATATATATATATATATAAATGTTTATATATATATACCATACATATAGCCTTACATATATGTGTATTAAAGCTAAAATGATGTGCCCGCAATCACGAGCACTCACAGCACTCACGAGTCATATTCAGGCACTCACAGCTTATACGTTTTTTTTTCTTTTTGCTTTTTTGAGGCAATTGAGGCGCTGCTGGCAGAACAAATTTAATGCACGGGAAAAATGTATTTTATTTAGTTGAAGCATTCCTCTTCTGCTGCCTCATCTTGAGCCATATTTTATGGGTTTTTCGCTTTGGTTTTGGTCATGTTTCGTGTGCCAGCTTTTCTTGGGTGTCACGCTGCGTATGAATAATGTGAGCGGGAGCGCGCATTACGTATACGCCCGGTGCGATGGCACTGCATGTGGCAACTAGACTGCGACCTCAGCGGGGGATTTGCGAAAGAGAGTTCCCCTTGATTGACTTCTGTCAGCAATTATTCCGTTTTATTTATTTTCTCTATATACTTTTATTTTGTTGGTTTTCCTCTATTTCGTGTTGTTTTTTTTTTTGGGGCCTTGGCACTTGGGGACAGGAAATAGGAAATGTTTTTCATATTTAAATTAGCTTGGCCTGCATTCAATAATACCCCAGATGTCAGCGTCATTTGGTGCGAAATTCCTCTGCAACTCGTGACTGCCAATGACAATTTGAAATGACTCAACGGCATGACCAAATATGTGAGAGTTAGCGTTGAGTCGAAAATCGTATTTTTTTGAGACAGGGAAAGTTCAGAGTTTACTGAACTGAGGATAGACGATGTATTTGCGGTTTCCTAGAAAATAATCGATGTGGATCGTATAATTCAAGGTATAGATACCGCTACAAAATATATATAAATTTTAAAAAAATTTGAAATATTGCTTGACAGTCTTATTTTTTAAATTTAAATAAAAAACAAAAACGGTCGTTTTTTAATGCCTAAATGTTTGACAAATTTATATTTTGTCTTTTTGTAGTCTTATTTATTTTATCATACATTACCATTGTTGATATCAAGTTTATTTTTGTATTACCCAATATATGAGTATAACATGATTTGCTTTATTAATGATTTGCAAGCATGCAAGATCAAATAAAATTTCTAAAAGACCGCCAAAACCATAGCAAACTGATGAAATGCAAGTGCGAAGAGTGGATAAAATAGCGACAAATTACCCTTATTATATTCCCAAAAATTTCGTAAATTTTTTCTATAATTATCGGAAGGCAAATAGTAAAACGAAAACCGCATGCAAATCACGAAATGCAGGGCGACAATGACAAAAAGACAACGACAACAAACATACAAACATCAAATGCAAAGGCAGGCAAGACATAACGATAGAGATAGATAGATAGATAGATAGAGAGAGACAGAGAAAGAGAGCGATATAGGCAGATCAGATCTCTCGGCATACGTACGATCGGTCAACGAGTATAGAGGCTTCCTGTTCTTTAAACCTGGAAAAAGGGTTACAATCTTAATAAACAACGATAATACAGACAACAATCATAAGAAGTTCACTAAGTATAATAGGGAAAACAGTGGAGGATATAAAGGGAAAAACGGTGGGAAATAAAAGGGGCAAATGTAACTAGAAATTTTTTATGGTAAAGGAACAGAACAATTGGAAGTCAAATTAATTCAAAATCCAAAATACATAGACTTAAAACCAAGGCTTAATATTAATATTAATTATAATAATTAATATATTCAAATGAAAAATAATTGATAATTGTTTCTATACTATTATTAAGTATTTAATTTATTTTAAACCATTAAAATATGTTTTTTAAAGTGATGTAGCACTTAATAAAATGTTTTAAAGTGACACTCCACTCTAATGCGAGTTTTATCTGTGTGTGTTTCCTTGAATGCTCTATTGGTGCGTCACGTGCAACGAAATGCTAAGTGGGTGTGTGGCAAAAAGTGGGGGGAAAAACGGTTGGGAAAGTGGGGTGGCAAACCCCCGGCGACTTTCGCTGACGCAGACAATGACCCCGTCGCATAGATCAGTGCAATCATGACGTCATTGCACCACGTCACAACAAACAAACAGACAGACGAACAATTCGGAGAAAGAGCTGGAGAGCTGGGCTGCACAAAAGTCGAAGTTGAAGTGTTGACATTTAAGCACATGGCCAAAGGACCTCCTACCACAGACCACCAACCACCGAACCCGCCCCTTTTTGGCAACGGACTTTGCCGCCCATTTGTCTCAGCATTCACAAACTCTGTGTTCAAATGTCATTGAGCACAAATAAAGGGCCCCAAATAAGGGCCTTTACATAACTAGGAGTCAGCTAATCGGACCTTTTGCGACATTGCGGTTTCTAACCTTATTTTAATTTTATTTAGAGAATACAATATCTGCCATATTAACACTACTTGAAATATTTATGTTTGTTAATTGTTAAAGATATTGGATTTAAAATTGGTCCTATTAACACTGGATCGCAGTTTAGCAAAAAATTGTAAGCTAGTGGTATATACTTGGATTTTATTTTACCGCAATTTAAAAATCCCTTTTTTAGCTTTCATTCCATTAAATTGTCTTTTACTACTGCTCTCAAACTGTTTTAGTCTAACCCAACCAACTTTATTCAACTGCAGTTAGCACCCCATGACCAAATAAAATGGTCGCCCACTTTATTTGTAACCTTATTCAGTATGCCCACATCTCAGTTAACCCAAGTTAATCCAAATTAACCCGAAACTAACCCACAACCCGAAACACAACGAACTGATTTTCATGGCAACTCAATTAAAAGGATGCCACTTTATCTCCCGCAATTCCCATAAATTCCAATTCCAACTCCGATTCCGATTCGGTTTCGGTTTGTTTTCTTTCTTTTGCAGCTCTCAGTTCTTGGAATCGACGGCAACGCAAGTTGCAGCCAACAATTTCAAAAGGAATTTACATGCTAGGTGTGACAAAACTTTAGGCGACACCTGTCACAGTTCTGCGGTTAAATTAATGCCACGCCTCAAAGTTGCCATCAGCCTGGGGATTGGGATTTATTTCATTTCCCGGTAAAACAAATGCCCACATTCGGGGAAAATATTCTCATTAGAGACAATTGTATATAAAGGACTTTATATCTTCTTAGAACAAATCAAGTAGGTAAAAGCTTTGAATGAGTATTCTTAATTTAAAGAAATCTACAGAGAATTTTCCCAACTTGACCCGAAAAAACATATCAAAATAAATGCAGTACATTTTAACTAAATCATACAAATTAAGTATTTGAAAATAAATAAAAATATTGTAAATAAAAAAATTGTTGCTGGCTCTCAGTCACCTTTTTATTGCATTGTTTTGACGACCTTTGCCTACACTTTGAACCTAAATAATTTCCCTTAGTGTAGGAAATCCTAACCGACTATAAGTATTGTTTTTCCCTATTTTTCATTTGAAAAAAAAAAAAACAATTCCACTTAACTGCATCTGTTATTGTTGCTATGATTATTTTCTCGTTATTGTTCGGGGTGGCTGTCCGAAAATGTGAGAAGGAACATCCCGAGATGCCGACAAGAAAATATTATGACTAATTGTGAGTTGTTTTGCTCGAATGACGACCTTGACATTTACAGGGAAATTAGGAAAATGGGTGTGGGTGTGGGCGGTATGCAGCAAGACAGCCTCGGACAGTCGGCTAATTATTTGTTATTAGTGTTGAAATCTTTATGAAACTTGGTCGTCAGTCAATGGTTTTTGGTTCTGGTTCTGGTTCGGCTCAAGACCCCATCCCATCCATAACTACGTGTGTGTAATTGACAGCTCATCAGGAACATTGTTTGAAAGTGGCAGCCCCTAGAAGTATTCCAACTTGATTGAAAGCAAACGCAGCGTGCGCTGAAAGGTGGAGATTTTCCTCCGCCAACCCAGTTTTCCCTTCCTTCCTTCCCTCCCAATATTCCCATGGGGGAAAAGGGAAAAGAGGGACAGTTTGGCAGGCCGAAAAACTTTGAAGGCAGACAAAAGTTTTCGGTTTCCATGCCGCACCGAAACAAATGCAAATTGTGTTGCTGTCGCCTGCCAAAAACATTTGACCGTTAAGGGAAATCTTCAACAACACCTTAGGAAAACCACAACAAGAACAACCATGGCCGAGAAGGTCGGAAAAACGACTGGGGAAAACAAAATACTTGTTCGAACTAAAATTAAGTTGGTTCTACCTCAAAGAATTTTTCATTTAATGGGACTACACGAATTTTAATGACAATTTCTTTGAAATTCCATATTTAAAATGGAAATTGAGAAATTAATTATTAACTTATTTTTACATTAAAATGATTGACAAATATTTACTTTTTTGTATTTACAGTTAAAGAGTTATTAAATTAACAGTTTATAAATGTTTTTTTAAAGGGGAAGGTTGCGTTTTAAGGCATTAAACATTTAAACTGACACCGAAATCCTCAAATTCAATCGGAAATCAACTCGTAAATCATTTATTGAGATTGAAACTGAAAAATCTTGTTATTCCCGCAGTCGTAAATGTTCTATTTACTTTGGTTTTCGAGAGGTATTCCCGCCGGCTCATAAGTATTTTGTTTTTTTTTTGTTTTTTGTTTGGGCCAAATATTTTGGCTTTTGTAATTTTTGCAGCCATAATTTGCACTCTGTATTTCAAAAGGGGGAAAACTGAAGAGCGACAAGGGAAAACTCACTTATGGCACTGTAAAAATGTAAATATTTTGCCAGCCTTTTCCCCTCAATTTTTCCCCGTTTTCTCTTCCCCTATTTCTTTTTCTCAGCTATATTTCCATCTTTTGATGGTGATCATCAACAGCCTCCTTCTCGTCGTTGTTGTTGTTTTTGTTTCTGCAACTGCATGTGTAATTAGGTGTTATTGTTTTTGTGCATAATACATGTGTGTGTTCTTTTTTTCTGTATGTGTGCCCCCATTGCCGCTGCCAAAGCGTATACAAAAAATACGAGAACGGAAGCTAACTTTGGCAAGTCGAAGTTTTAATACCCTGGAAACTATTACATAGCATATAGTCGTTCGATCGGCCAGAATTTTTAACATGTTCAATTTACGCATAAAGTTGGACTCTGAAAATTCCAAGAATCTATATTTGACACGGAAGGAACAATCGGATAGATGATCAGTATGATCAGTTTGACAAATATATGACAGGGATAGGTTATAAATGCTATAAATACAGCATTTAGGACAAAACCAAAGAAAAAACAACGAAATTTAACAGTTTGAATAGAAACTGCGTTGTTAACTTCTGACCAATTTTATAAAACCCTCGTCAAGGGTATAAAATTGTAGGTGTGCAGGGGATGCACTCAAAAACACAACAGCCATAAGGCTTGCCAAAAAAAATCACACACACAGTGATATATAAGCAACAACAAAAAGGGAAGCCGAAAAAATTGCATTTCCGGCCTCAGTGTTGCATAACACGTTTTTGGCCATGCATGTGTAATGAGGGCCTTTTTTTTGAGGGAGGGGGTGGTCTACTGTGACTAACTAATTGAAGTTGAGACCTTAGGCGTTGTGAAATCTATGGAGAAAATATGCCCAACATCAGACAGTAGACACTGTTAAAAAAAAAACGGGAAACTAAAGCAAAAACTATATATTAAACTTTCATAGCAACTTAGGATTCAATTTAATTTCTATTTACATTTAATTTAAATTTGTTCACCAAATTTTTTGTAGAAGTTTGAATATTTTCGATAAATCAATAATTTCAGAAACTCAAATGTAAATAATTTAATAAATATGGTTGAATTTTATATTAACAGAAACTACAAAATCATAACTAAGCATTCCTTTATAAGGTTAAAAAACAATGGAAAATGTGAAAGCTCTTCATTTAAAGGAATAAAATGTATCTAAGATCAAGTCTTAATACTTAGGCTTAAGTACAACTAAGCCAAAATCTGTTGGGATTAAATTTGAAAAGTTTTGAATTCCAAATTTTGTAACAAATTCATTTTCCATAGTGCAAAGCTTTGCATATTTTGTAAAAGTTTAGCGAAGAGAGGCGGGAATGTTTGTGGGAAAACGGGGCAGGAAAAGTGCAGTGGGAGCAGTAAGCCCGGGGCAAAGTCGCAGAAATCCCACAGAGTGACAAAGAATACACTCTGCCGGTGGAGGGGAAAGCACAGGAGAGGCTGGGAGGCTGGGAAAATATGGCGGCGAAAAGCCGAGAGGAAAACTCTGGAGCCCAGAGATGCCTTCAAAGTTGTTGCACTTTTTGCATGTGTGCGTCTGGATCCCTCGCATGCCTTTCCAAATTGTTCAAATATCTATGACCAAGTTTGTTTTTGTTAAATGTGAAATAATGAGAAAACACACATGAAACGTTATTAAATTGAACACCAAAATTAAAATTTAAATCAATGCATTATGCATAATTAATTTAAAGATTACAAAGATGCCATTTGAAACCTTTAACAAACAATATACTATAATAATAATAATATATATATAACAATTATGAGTGTTGGTAGGCACCGTAAACAATTTAAAAATCATTGTAATAATACACAGATATGAAAGAGTGGAAATATAGAAGCAGACCTATCAATAAATAAAATATTTTCATATAGTTTTGGTAAGGACTAAATAAAAATGCCTTAAAGTAAGTAAACACCCTCAAAAAGATACAGAGAAACATACGTCATGAAAGGACAAAAAGTATCGAATAGTATCGGTAATAGTGAAGATAAGCACCACAGAAAACCACATTAAACGTACTTAAATAAGTCGTAACACAAAAAATGGCACGACAAAGCAAAGGAATCATAAGCGAAAACCGAAATCAAAGCCGTGGGAGGGGTAGATCACAAACATGAAAAAGGTGGATTGAATAGCCAGCATAATCATTATCTGAGCTCCAAATTATACAGGTGAATGTCTACGATTGGCATTCACAAAAACAAAGAGGGAAATCAGCTTGAAAAACTCAAAGTCAAACCAGGAAAGGAACTCAAACTTATATGGTACTGAACTCTATTTATAGATGGAAAATATGGGACACTGGATGTGCTAGTATAGTAGCTCTCGGGAAAACTTACCTTTCGCTAGCGATGCTTGAGTTTCGGGACATGGACTTGGGCGACATCTCAAAGTCGGAATCGGAGCGATATAGAAACGATTCGCGACGCTGCGGCAAATTCTGTAGAACCAAACCGGCGCTGGGAGAGCCGCCCTCAAGCGGTGATCGAGCGCCCTGGCCATTTTCTACATCGAAACTGTAAAAGAAACAATTGAAGAAATCGATTAGGAATTGGAAAAAGATTATGGAATTTGTAAATGATCAAAAAGGCTGTTCAAAATATTTTTTTGTGCCAAATTGGCTCACAGGAAAATAAATATTAAATGTAAAATTCAGTGATAGCTTGCAATAAACATAAATTTTAAAAGCTTAGCAATGTAGCTAATTAGAACTTGTTCTCGATAGGTAAAAGGCTATAGTTTTTTTTATGCCAGTTTGGCTCAAAGGAAAATAAATATTAAATACAATATTTTGTAAATGCTTATAATAAACAGAATCTTGTAAGGTTTTTATAAACAGATTTTCTGTAATTTAAGTCCCAGTTTCTGTGATTTTAACGATGTATGCAAGGGTTTAGATAATATAAAAAAAATTCCTTCATATGTTGGCAGGCAATGCCACCGGAAAAGGAAGCTCGCCTAACAAGGCGCATTTAAAGTTTCATTTCGTTAGTCATCATTCGCACTTTCCTTTTTTTTTTCTCAGCTCGCTTGTCTGCGGCAAAAAGTTTTTCTGGCTGGCAGAATTCTTGTAACAAGTCCCCCCTTTCCCCTAAAAAATAAGGAAAACAAAAATGCGAAAGCAAAAGCAAAAGCAAAAGTCACTCCCCGCCACCCAAAAATGTGAAAGGAAAGTTTAGTGAATTGTGGACCAGGCCAAGCCCCCGAGTTTTCGGGGAGTTGGTGAAAATAAGAAACTTCCATAAAACTGCCAGCTCATCTTGGCCTCTTCAATTTGCCGCTAGGTGGCCGCCTTAAACTTATAATCAGGCTTCTTTAAGCCGCAACTTTTGTTCATGCCAATTTAACCCGTCATACAAGCCCACACGCAAAAGTTTAAACATGTATATGTGTCTGTCTGGGACATTTTAGGAAGACTAAAAGGAAGACTAAAGACTGACTATTGAAACAGCTTTATTACCATCACGTTGCCCATTTGGAGATACTTGTATATTTACATTGAAAGTATGCACAAAATGAATAGTTTGTATTGTATACCTATGCCATCATTGGTAAATGGTAATCTATTCGAGACATACCTTATAACATTTATTTCATTCACGGACAAAAAAGGAATTTTTATTTGGGCGAATTAAAATTCCTCAATGCTAGAATGTCCGCACCAAATATGTTATTATGGATAAGTTTAGTTAAGGTAGTTAAGATAGCTAACACAACTACTAATATTACTATTTCTTAGAAACAATTCCCATTTCTGTGTTAACAAAATTAGGAAGCTTACATTTTGATACAATTTAAGTGAAAATTCCCCAAATTAGTTATCGACAAATATCAATTCGAATGGAAACGCTTGGCTCAGACACTTTTCCGCAACTTTCTTGCCACACACAGCTGCTGCCCCACCCCCTCTTTGGAACACCCCCAACCTCCCTCTCATTTTCCCCGCAAGGATGAAGAAATGTCGTAAAGAAAAATGATGTTTTAAGTAAAATTTATACCAGGGTCATTAAGTAAACTTGGCACAAAGTTGTTGCCGCTTGTTGCTACTGTTTCGTTTTGGGGGAAAGTGGGAAATTGTTGGAAAATGAGGGTGGCGGCGGTGAGCAACAATGTCGCCAGTTTCCCTGGCATACTTTGTAGCGTTTTTTCGCAAAAGTTATGGCAACAGCAGCAGCGGCGGCGACAAACTGTTTTTAGTTCGGTTTCAGTTTTCAGTTTTCAGTTTCCAGTTTTGAGCGGTACATTTTCCCGTTTTTATTTTTGTCGCTTTTTGTATTTTTAATGGTGTTATGAACACTCTTTATAGTTGTTCTACAGCCAAGAGACAGTTTGTTATTTGTGTTTGTGTTTGTTTTTGGTTTTTATTTCTCCATAGTCAATACATGCAAACGCGAAATGAGAAAATTTCTACTTTGTTGATGTGGTTTCAACTGGGTTTTCATTTATATTTGCTCGAAAGACGAGTTAGAAGTGTACACTTCATGAGTTGGAATTCTGTTGGGAGTGTTTTTCCAGCCTTGTTGCATGGAAAAGCGTATTATTTTTTATTAATTAAAATTCATGGACACACAATTGAAAAGAAATTATATTTATGAATTTGGTTTAAAGAAACATTAGAAAATATACACAGCTGTAGCTATCGAGTTCATACTTTGGTTTACAAATTCAATTGAAATTTCATTGTATAATGAAAATTAGATACATTTCGGTATTCAATTAGTTTTTTAAATTTAATCGTCAATCCCTTTTTAATATTTATTCATTTACTTTGCAATGATCTCGTGCATTCAATAGCCCCATAAATGCAGCATTCATTCCTTTCCAAGTCGCCAAATACTTGGCGCCTACTTATCCAGACATCCCAAGGACCTGTCGTAACACTCGGGGAAAACTCACAGAATATGGGGACAAAAAACCAAACACTCAAGCTCATAAAACGTCCTGTCACAGGCAGTGCACAAAAAACGCAGACACACCAAACAAAATGCGATAAAAGCGTGAAGAAAGGCCACATAGAAACAAAAGATGAGCGAGCAAGACAATAATTCTGCGAGTGAATGAGACGGGTAGCTGGGCCGGCGAAAGAGACGGCAACAACACTAGATAAATCGCCGCTGGCCAGAGGCACCAAAATTCGCGAAATTCGTGGCCAGCACTTGGAAAAACATACGGTTTCGAACAGAGTATCCTTATGGAGAAACACTAGATTCGAGGAAAATTCAAACCAAACACATTACCAAAAGAGTCTTTGTGGACGCCATGGGGGCGTGGCAAACGCCATTCAACTTTGAGCTAAACAACCCACATGGAGAAATATATATCCATCCACACCCACTCTCCGGTTGGCCTCATCAAGCCAGCTTTTTCCGGTGAGCCCTGCGGCAACCCAAGTATTCTGTACCCTACCAAAATTGGTTTCTAACTGGACAAATAGGTAGTACAAATATTGTGTATGCCTAATATATACGCTTCCTTTCTTTGGTTAAAGTTCTCTAGCATAATTTCAATTTATTTTTAAGAAATATGGTTTTCTTTTATTTTATGGATATTTGGTCGGCTTCCAAAGTTCTCAAATCGATAGTTTAAAGGTTTAAATAATAACTAAAGATTTATTGGCCTGTGTTTGGGATCTATGCTTTATTTAGCTATGTTTTATAAACATATACAATTTTCAAACAGTTGTTTATCGTACTATCATTTACTATCGATTCATTACCTCTAATTTAGGGTATTTCAATCTTCGCCCTTTGAACTCCACGGACTTTCTTTATTTCCAGTTGCATACTTGCAGGCGCCCCAAACACAATTACACATACAAATAGAGGGCGGAGACGAGATAGATGGTGGTGCTGCTAGTTAGGGGGGTTGGGTGAATTTTTTTTGTTGGGCGGTCGAGTGGGGTTCCCCTCATTTAAGCCGTGACGTGCTTTAAGCCACACAGTCGCACTCAAGCCGGATGAAGGCGAAAGTAGCTGCCTGGCGGAAGATTGGCATTGTTGTGTCAGGAGAAAGCGGGGGAGAAAGGGGTGGGAAAGGCAGGCGAGAAGGGCGAAAAGGAAGTGGCAGGATGGAGGAGTCGGAAGAAACGGAAGTGTGCCCGACGGCAGCTCTTCATGTGCCTAATTATATGTGCAAATAAATGAACGACGCATGCTGATTGTGTGGGTGTGTTACACAGGAGTGTGTATAAGTGAGTCGAGACAATGTGTATGTGTGTGTTTTGGGTTCATGCCTATATGTGTGCCCTAGACAAAAGGTTGCCCCTTTCGCCTAAAAAAGAGCGCTAAGCTCAACGCCCAGCACCAGCTTAATTAGTTTGTTAAACTCGCGGCTCACACACACATGCAAATACACTTAAAGAGTGTCTGTGAGTATCCTTTGACAGGAAAATACGGCAAAAGTCCCACAAAAAAAAACAAAGAGAAAGAGAACTATTTTGAAAAATAATTTTAAGCTGGCTTAATTCAAATTGCACTCACACATTTTTTAGTCGAATCTAGTTAATTGTTTCTTTTGTTACAATATATTTATACATAACATTAACTACAACTATTGATTTTAGTGCTGGTGTCAAATCAAGTTGTAGCATTACAAAAAACGCTATACGAAAAATAAAGTCAAAAGCTAAGTAATCTATCAAAACACAAATTTTTTGGTTTGTTCTTAACAAAAATGTTAACCGGCATTTAAAATAAATTTAAAATTTAATTGAAAAAACATTATTGAATAAAATGGTGCTTATATTTTCTTTTTCATGGCTTTTAAATGAAACTAGTCACCAAGATTAAACATTAAATCTTTTATAATCTTTAATTTTTGCGTTTTTTGTTTTTGATTCAATATTCAAATTATTTTTCAAAAATCCAAGAACCATTCCACTTAGACACACGCACACACACACACACACATACATCGAGGGCAAGTGGTAAGTGGGCTCTCACTCCCACAATACATGCACTCAAATACCGCTAGTTGTCGGGAAACCTTGAAAGCAAATGGAAACCCAAAAAGAATTAGAAAAAAAGAAAATAAGGGAAATACAAACCCAAAAATCCAAAACCAAAGCAAAGTGCAGAGTGCAGAAAGAAAAATGCAGGCGAAAGCGTCAGAGCAACCGATTGCAACTGTGGGTGCGAAAAGAAGGGGTGACAAGTGAGTGAAGTGGGTGGTTTTTCTGGTTTTCTGAGGGGAAAGAAAAACTGTCACAAGGCCATTAACAAAAGCCTGAGACTGACTGCCAGGAGGTTGGACGATGGTGCAAGATGAGAGCGAGCGGTGGGGATAAAAAAAAACCAAATTAAAATTTCGAGGCGAAATGAAATGGGCAAAGCCAGCCATTTCCATATTCACCGAGAAAAAATTCGAAAATAGTGCCATTTTGTTTTTCATCTATCCAAATCAAGATTTAAGTTGCTCAACACCTCAACACCGGTATGATAATGATTTTGATATAATATTTGCATGAGTTATCAAAATAAATATATATAATACTTAAAAGAATATTATTTGGGGATATGATTATATTTGAAACTAATAATTGTACTTGTACACATGGAAACAAATTTATACGAAGACATGAAATAATAATTACTTTTTAACAAATATTGTTTGATAAAACCAAAAGGATGTGCTAATTGAAAACTGATATGGGAAAGCTTTTTTCCGCCTGTGTTAATGTGTTGAAAATTGAGAATAGTGGGCGGATGTTGCATGTGCATATTGCATAATTTCACCTGAGTGGGCGTGGCATCGTGTGTGTGCGCGCTTGTATGTCTGTGTGTTTAAGTGTACGAACAGGAACCGCTGATTTTCATTTCGTTGCGTCGTGCATTTGATTAACCATCTGGCGACGACATCTCTCGCCAAATTGAGCTTGGCAACAATTTGGGAGGAAAAGCGGGGAAAACTCTGTGCAAAGGGGAGGGGAAAATGCACAACCAACAATTAAATGCACCAACCAATTGAGAGGGCTCAGTTGCGACCAACTGATCCGGAAATTTCCGAGGCATGGAATTGGGTTAGCTTAGTATTTGCTGGGTTTAACAGTTCTCGTACACAGTGGAAAATGGTACATACATGGTACATGGGTTTGCATATTAACAAACATAAGGCAAGTTATTACTGTTTATTTTGTTAAATATATATGCGATTGTTAAGGTATAACACAAGCAGATATAGTATTTTTTCCCCGCCTTCTTAATTTCCTGCGGTTGCCTGGGTAAATGTTACAAAAAAAAAAAAAACTAGAAAACATTTAACGTGTGACATGGCAACCCCTTTGTTATGACAACCATACCATTTGTGAAAAGACAATTGCTGGGAAAAGCAGATTGCCAGGAAAACTACGCCAGATATTTAATAATACTCCAGGAATTCGAGGCAATAGTTTTCAGACTTTTCCGGAAAAACCGCAAAATGAAAACCCAAGGTAAATACGGTGTGACTGCCACGGCAGCTGCGCAAGTTCTCTGTGAGGATGTGAGGAATTTCAGCACTCGTCGCCGCAATATTCTCTACCTAATGCATCGATATCTGGTGGAGAATGGATTCTATTCGAGTGCTGAATCCTTGAAAACCGAAGGACGTCTCTCCGAGGAGTACGAACTATGCGACAACATCGATCTGGATGCCATGTACCTGGAGTATGCCAGCTTTTTCAACATGAAATTCGGTAAATACCCGAAGATTCTCAAGAAGGCGGGTGCAAAAATCAAAGTGGAAATGGCTGGAAAGGCGACGGCGCCGGAGAAAAAGGAATCCAAGGAATCTAAGGAGTCCAAATCCCAAAACTCAGAGGCTTCTGTGGCCAATTGGCATTTGAGTGTGGGTGCAGCTTTGAACAGTGAACCGCTGCAGATCAAGAAGATGGAAACCAGCTTTCCGGCCAAGGAATCGAATACTTGTGAAGTGGAACACGGTCATTTGGGTTCGGATGACAATCTATTCAACTCCCTGGACTGGCAATCTCTGGCCGAGTTGGTCAAGACCTCGATACTGCAGGAGAACATAAAGCTGCGCTGGTCGGATGTCTGTGGCAATCAGCGGGCCATTGAGTTGATCAAGGAGGCCGTGCTGACGCCCATCGAGTTTCCCCAGCTATTTGCCCACGGCCTGAAGCCCTGGCGATCCCTGCTCCTCCACGGACCGCCAGGAAGTGGCAAAACACTGCTGGCCAAGGCCCTCTATTCCGAGACGCAGGGCCAGGTGACCTTCTTCAACATCACGGCCAGCATAATGGTGAGCAAGTGGCGGGGTGAATCGGAGAAAATCCTGAGAGTTCTGTTCCACATGGCAGCCAAACGGGCTCCGTCCATTATTTTTTTCGATGAAATCGAGAGTTTGACTTCCAAACGGGACAGGGCCACCGATCACGAGAGCTCCAAACGCTTCAAGAACGAACTTTTGCAACTGTTGGACGGCATGGAGCACACACTGAACGGAGTCTTTGTTCTGGCCAGCACTAATTTACCCTGGGACATCGACGAGGCCTTCTTGCGGCGCTTCGAGAAGAAGCTACTGGTGCAACTGCCCAATGGGGCGGAGCGAAGCTGCCTGATCAGCCGACTTTTGGGCAGCAGTGTCTCCCTGAATCCCAGACTACTTGAGCAGCTGGTGAAGATATCGGATCAGTTTACCGGGGATGAAATACGACTGGCCTGCAAGGAGATCAGCATGCACCGGGTGCGTTGTGCCACCAAGATTGCGGATCGATCGGCCATCCACGATCCACCCAAAGAATCCCAGGCTGCCATCGAGGCCAATGTGGAGCGGGCCTTTCAGCAAGTTCGTCCCTTGGGCCAGAAGCTGTTGGCCAAACACGAGCAGTGGCAGCAGGAAAATGGTTCTTAAAATGGGGCTACCCTTCACTTGCTTCGTAGTTAAATATATATTTTGTATGAGCCTCCAACATTAGCTCAAGTATTTTTTTGTATCTAAAATAAAGGCAATATTAAAAGGTATCTTTTAATGGGAGTGTAAGTGGTTTTTATAGTTCTTCCTAATTTAAATACAGAACAATGTTTATAGTATAAAAAATCTAAAACAAACAAAATATTGATTTGTTTTTTATCAGTTTTATAAAGATGGTTTAAAGGGTTCAAAAATAATAATTTATCCGGTATTGTATTGTATAGTTTGGGACCCTGTTATTTCGTTACCTGCCAGTGGTGCGCCGCCTGGCCCCGGCTATCGTCATCCGGGACACATACCTCCGGATCCTGCCGCTCGACCTGCGCTGCGACGTGGGGTTGCCGCCGGCGGCGGTGGTCACCGACTTGACGCTGTATTCCGTGGCCGTGGAACTGCGGCGATCGCTGGTCATCAGATCGGAGCACAGCGATGAGGACAGAATGGAGGCGGCCGATCTCCTCTTTCCGCCCGTAAAGGTTCCTCCGCCACTCGAGGATGTGGTGGTGGCGGAACTATCCGATCTGGAGAACAACGAGGATCGCTTGCTCCGACTCGCCGAGGAGCCCGTGCCCGCGGCATCCTGGATGTTACTGTAGAACTCCTCCGTCTCCCGATCGTAGGTCTCGTCCTCATCGTCCTCGTCCATGGGATCCTCCTCGAACTCCTCGCACTCCGCCTCCGTGGCCATCGTATCGCTCCGCTGGCTGAGCCCCCTATTGGCCCGATTTCCGCCATTCGATAGGGACGAGGATTGCTGCTGCAGTTGGTAATACTCGTGGCAATCACCGCGGGAGCCCCGCGATCTACTGCTCCCACTCAGGTAGCGATAGGGAGCCGAACTGGAGTTGCTTGTGGTGCTCAAGGAGTGCCGTTTGTTGGGACTCACTTCCAGGGCCCCATTGCCATTGGTGACCTCGCCGCCATCGCCATCGCCATCGCCATCGCTGTCGCCACCGCCCACACTCCCACTGAAGGTCACCTCGTGGAATTTCGAGGATTTCCTTCGGGTCCTGGGCGCCATTCCCTCACCGCCGCTGTTGTTGTTTCCCAGGGAAATAGAGGGCCTCGGCCGATTGTTGTTCTCCCCCTTTTGATCCCGATCTTGATCCTGATCCTGATCCCGATCCTGATCCTGATTCTGATCGCCCTCTGGCATCAAAGTCAAAGCCAGGGCTGGTCGACCTCGCTTGCGGCTCCAGGGAAAGGCCCGAATAAATGCAAAGATGATAAACAGCGTGGCTATCATCTTGATACACAACACACACAATCTCAATTGCTTTTTCTAGAGAACACTTGTTTCCCTAGAAAATCGCACGCACATCCTTTCGCATTTTCGTCGTCGTTGTTTTAAGTTTAAAGTTTTAAGTCTTTAGTTTTGAGTATTATAAGTAATTATTTTTTTTTGTCGATCTATGGTTTGCACTGGATTGTCATTTTAATGAGTTCAATTTCGTATTTTCTTTTTTTCGATTTGGTTTTCTATTTTGCAGAAACAGAGAGAGTGAGTGAGTGGGGGAGAAATGGAGGGGCAGGAAGCGGAAGTCCTGCTGACAGAAGTAGGGTGTGGAAAAAAGGGGGCTGCAGTTGACAGACACGTGGCCCAAATGATTGATCAACGGTCAGTGCTGACAGAACCGGGAGAATGTGAAAAGCCAGCGGGAGAAAAACACATTTCCTGGCACTAATGTTGTAGTTAAAACTTATTATCCTGCTAAAATGTGTGTACCGAAAAAACAAAACACAAATTTTATTCATTCCATAGGAGACACATATGAATAGAATAAAATATTATAAGAACTATATAAATTATGCATATAGTTATTCCTATTTAAGTTGTATTTAAATCTTTTTTATATATATTTAATTAACAAGACAAATGAACCATAAATGTTTACACAATATACATATTATTCATTCCTTTAAAGACAAATATCAACACAATAAAATAACTACCATATATGTATATGATGTATATTGTTGTTCTCCTTTTTTTTTTGTATTTAAAACATGTTTATATATGATTACTTAACAAGTTAAATGGACGATAAATGTTTTGTGGAAGAATATATTTTGTTGCGGGAAAAAATTCCAATTTGCCAGCATAAAAAGCATCTGTCACATTTATCTTCAAGTTTCTGCCACAGTAAAGCAGCAGTCACCGCTTGACAAACATATTTAAACCCACTGCAAATACATTTTCCACTCTCTGTATCTTTGCCGTTTCCTGATCCACGCTTCATTTGCTTTTTGTTTATCTGTTTGCCACTGCTTTATGTGCATATATATATATATATATATATATATATGGTATATCGTTCCGATTGACTGACAAACAAACTGGGAGGACAAACTGATGGATAAACTACTGGATGGACGCTTGTCTATCTAGCTGAGAGTGATTTTATGCGCAATTTTGATGGCGCTGCGAGAATATTATGATAATCAATACACAATTATTGCACACATACACACACACACCAGGATATAGGATATGGCGCATAAAGGACTATAAGTGCAGGGCAACGTTTCTTTTTTTGGTACTCGAGCAGCATTTTCGCCTTTGTTAACGTTTCTCTTTTTCTCTTATTTTGCCTTGTTAGGAAAGGAAGACAACAAAAATTGTCCAAGTTGTATACTATAGAGAGCAGAGGATAACACCAACAACAAGGAGGGGCATTAAGAAGGACCCTCAGATGAGGTTTTGTTGTTGGCTGAGCGGCTTACCCAACTGATGATGCTCTTTAGTATCTCTATATCTATCTCCATCATCCTGCCCAACCCTGTTGTTGACCTAAACTAGCTACTTTTTAGTTCAACCATAATTGAAATGATTTAACAATGAGCCGGCGATACGGAGGAACGGAGAAATGGGTGGCCGAAGGGGCAGACATGAGGGATTAGGAGGGTTTTCCGGGCACGGAAGACTAGGATAAGTGACCACAACAAGTTGTTCGGAGAGTTTTAGTAGCCAATTTTAAAGAGATCAGAGTTACAAGTTCACAGAGTTGGCATAATTTTGTGCCTTAGTCAATTGACATTTTTTTTTTTTTTTAGCTTATCAAAGCTATGTTAATCATTGATAATTATATGATATTTTCTGTAAATTCAATTATAATAAAAGTCTAAACGTCTAAATAGCTCTTTAAACTCTTTGAAATTAAAAGCTCTTAATCAAAACTTAAAATTTTAAGATGTTTTATTATTTGTTCAATTTTTTGTTATAACATTTAATTAATTGATTTGAATAAGATTAAATTAGACTATCAACTAACCTAATTTTTCCCTTTTATCACCCCTTTATATCACCAAAAAAATGAGAGTTTTGCAAGCAATCTTAAGCTAACTCAATTGCGTTTAATTAAAGTTATCTTGAGGCAACGAGGCCAGGAAGCGTAACAAATTCTAATGGAGGCAGAAGATGATGAAGCTGCTGCAAAAACCCCTGGCAATTTCCCCTTTTTTCGCCTTCGGCACACGCACTACTTTTTAATTTGTTTAAATTGCATTAAAAAAGGGAGGAAAAAACGAGAGGTAAAAACTAGAAATAGCGGCCAGGAAAAGTTGCACGAAGGAGCAAAAAGGGTGCGGGGAAGAAGTGGCATCTAAAGTGAATTAAGCGCAGCAAAAACGCTTTCCCCGTTCCTATTTCTAAGCATACATACATACATGTGTACTATATGCACTGGTGAGTGATGTCTTAGGCTTGGGAAATAATTACAAGCAATACGGTGAAAGTAGAACAAAAAGTTGCATTTAATTGGCCAGAGAGCGCTTTAACTTAAATTAAATCAATTTCATCCTTAAGGATTATTGGCGAATTTAAGGCCAGTGAATTGTGAGGGTAATTAAACTGTAATTGACGAACTAAACAGTTTTGTACATTGCTATTTTGTATTTATGTACTGTTTTTATTAAGTAATTAGAGATATACAAATTTCTCTGTTTTGCTAATATATATTTTTATTACGCTCAGAAATTATAACTTTTTTCTATTTCTTCCATTAAAATACGATTTTTCCAATCTAATTGCCATTGCCATTTTTCTGATTGCCATTGCAGCGCCATCTAGCGTAAAGGAGCTGCCTCACAGGTGGCACTGCAATATCCTTCGAGTCCTTGGCTCTCAGAGTTTTCTCCAACCCCTCTTTCCCACTTCTCCCAATTTCTGAATCTCGTCATCTCTTGTGGCCGGCTTATCGCCACCCACTTTTTCTCTAAGTGTTACTAAACAAGCTGGAAACAGGGCCGCGCTTTCTCCGATTTCTCTTTCCTCTTTCGAGGAATGCCTTGGGTCCTTTTTGCTACTTTCACAGCGACTGCGCCTGTTCACACACAAACGTACACACTGCCACTGGTCCACACACAAACACAAACAAACACACACAAATATTTCCTTTCAATTTTTTTACAGCTCTCTGTTGCTTTTTCTGCTTTTCTTTTGCAACTAATTCCACTTTTGCTAGGCGCATACTTGTACAGCTGTGATCAACGGTTTAGAAATAAAATAAATGGTTAATTATAATTTTAAATTCAAAAAATACTTCCTAACTTTGTTTATGTCCTTTTTGTTATATCTTAATAATAATAAAACAATAATATATTATATAATTTCTAGTAAGGGAATTATTTTAATTACATAAAAAAGTACTTGTTATACCTTTTAAAACAAAAAAAAAATCATAAATACTAGGGTGTAGACAATAACATTTTCTTATTAACTGATTTTGAAAGATTTTAAACACCAATTTTAAGGGCAACAAAATATTTTAAAAATTAATTCCTTTTTTTTGTTTAAAAAAAACATACAATTTAAAATGTAGTAAAACGTAGTAAATAATAATGATAAGCTTATAAACCTTAAAGTATCCCATTCAAATTTTCTTTTCTTCTTTGTTATCAATTTTAATGGTTTAAGAATATCCATTTTTCTATAGTTCTGACCGCAACTGTAGGAGTATGAGTGCCTTCGTATGTGTGTGTGGGTGTGTGTGCAGCATC